CCCCGAAAGGTGAAAATTTGCAAAGTGAAAACTCCGCGCTCATACTGTTTTTTTTTTCAATAAGCTCTGACACATTCACCCAGAATTACACAGTGCAAGCGCTTATATGTGTATTTACCATACTGGGAGCAGAGGTACTACCTGAAAGCCCAGAAACGTATTTCGCCGATATTCTGTTGCTGCATAACACAGCTGCGAGGAGTTGGGCTAATCACTCGGTCGCCCAGCTACAATTTCAAAATATACCACATAGAAAATGCTGGAGGACCCACTGTTGAGCCGAGGCATGTGTCATGAAATGGCAGAATATCAGCGAACGTGCATCTAGGCTTCTACCTAGTATCTGTGCTCCCAGTATGGTTAATAATTGCGCATACTATTGAAGTGGCAAAGTACTAGTCTGTATTCTCGGATAGGTTAATCTCTTAAAGTGCTTTCTAAAGTTGCCACAGAATGTAGTAGTTTGGGACTTTTCGGTTTCGGCTGAACGCCATGTTTCCGGCAATGAGCATTCTGCTTGAAATTAGCGAAACATAACTCTTAACTCATGAAGTAAAGTCGCATAACTGTGTGATTTCATAAATTATTCTTCGAAACAGTGAGTGGATGCTTTTCTGAGGAAGGTTATGTGCAACCTTTCGCCAAGACAATATAAAAATAAATCCGTCTCCTTGTCGTGTAATGAGCCATTATTGTTGTTTTCGGGTTGAGTCTAATGACATTATTAGGAGGAAACCTATTGACTGCTAGGTTGACGCCGTCCGCTAACAGTAAAATTAAAGAAGGAAAACAAGAGTGCCCAAGAGTGGACAGGAGTGCAAGTCTCGGGGACAATTGTCGCAATGATTCTCCGTGGTGTAGTTAGTTGATATAAAAATTTGTTTTGAAGTTGAATAGACTATTTGCTACTCCCGCGGGAACAGATGTTAAAATATAATACAGCAAATCAAACGGGGATAAAGAAGTAGCCTAGCTGTTCACTGTCAAATTCCTATTCCGGCATCTTTCAAGAGAGAACCCTCAGATTAGAGTGACATGATTTGGAATAGTTTTAAATGCCAGATTGTAGACAAATTTTTTGACAATACCGACTGTGGGGTTGTCCACAGTACTCTAGAGGGCCGTCTATCTAATCAAAACCTGTCAGTAGTCTTGTGCGGAAGAAAATGGACCTTTGTACATCTTCTTTTATTGACCAGAAAGAGCTGAGGACTTCGACGCCGTATTTAATTTAAGCACCTAACAATTATCTTATCTATCATCGTGAAAGACCAGAAGGTCTGTTCACTTTCCCCTAATCAGTAAAAGTACATTAAGGTTTCGTCGATATTCTTTCGCTGTATGGCACAGCTGCGAGGGGTTCGGCTCATCAATAGATCTCAGGGGAACAAGCCTTTTGTACCCCTTTGGTATTGGGTAAGTTTACTGAAGATTATGTGTGTAAACACAATGTTTATATACTACGTAAAATATAGGTATCCCGTACCATTAAGGAGTTTTATTCAATACGTAATGCAGCCGTCCGTTGGTGTATGAAATTAACTTGGTACGAAAACGCACGGAGAAAGCAGGAAAATATCCTATTGACCGCATACTTTCGCGATATCTGTGCTGCATACAAATCCGCGATTAACCGAAACCGCGAAAATCGGGGGATTAATGCAGTTTTTTTA